CATCTGTATACTCTATGCACTAATCTCTCCTTGGCTCAGTCCATTATGCCAGACAGGTAAATGCCGTGTGTTGTTTTAACTAATTGTAGGGGTACTGGGGTGTAGGGGTTATGGGGTACAACCATGCATTTAAATGGTGACTGAACGCCAATTATATCCTCAACTTAATTACTCAGAGTACGAAAATCATAAAAGAACAGTCTCTACATGTATAGTTTCTGTGAAGACGCTCTGGTTCGGAATTCCAGCCTGGAGTGTGATGATGAAACCATATTTCATATGTGCATTTTCGATAACCGATAGGCTTCGGGTGATTTCTTTTCAAATTTATCATAGGTTTCTCTCTGAACGTCAAAAGGTTGTCTATTTTCTATATATGTACACACATTGAAGGTATCTTATGTGTCTGGGCTAGGGTGGGACAGCACATCAGTTCAAACTGTGGATCTTGGTCTTCAGCAACCCTTGCTTAGTTGACACATGCCACAGTATCCCAATTACGGATATCATGTTGTCAAACACTGAATTGTCTGGTGCAGACTCGATTATTTACAGACCACCGTCATTTAACTTGAATATTGTTTAGTGCGGCGTTAAATAACAATCAATCAATCGCATGTCCTTAAAACGGTTTGTCACCTGTCCTAACTGGACTCCTCATCTACCAGTGTTTGGGTGGCTGATACGTGTATCCTACTTAAGTTGAATCGTGTGGCATAGGAACAGATAAACACATTATCAGATTATCAAAGTGCAGCATCATCTGGAGTGTCTTCCTGGCAAATATCTCATACTGGCTTTGGAACGTCATATGTGAGCAAGCGTACGCAGATACACCTTTAAATGACACCTGTTGTCATACGAGGTAAATCGATTCCATGGTTTCACTGTAGATGTTGCACTAATGATTACGTAATCATACATGTTGTGGCTGTTATAATAATTATTCTACGTGAGGATTATCATGTTAAGCAATGTTATCTAAAATTCACACTAAGATACAGAATGTGTGCAAACACAATGAAAGCATTAGCCGTGTGTGTACTGAGATCACACACAGCACAGCCATTTATCTTAACTGTATTGATTTCTTCCATCACATGGTATAACTATATCAGTGAAAGAACAATTAATTAACTTTTTTAATAATGTTACATTTTATCACATTATCATTTAAAATTAATTCAAACATTTTGATTGCTTTCGTACATAGATACATGTCTTGTTAAAACTGGTAAATTACGTTAGCAACTGAGATTGAATCCTCAAAGGGAGTGAAAGCAATGTGAAGTTATTGACCTCGAAAGAGGTGAGTGAGGCCCCAAAACACTCAAAGTGGATTTATTCCCACCACGTTTTAACCGTTAAAAACCGCGCTGGACACATTTGTCAAAATCGTGTGGTGTCCATGCAGATAGGGCCCATATAGGTAGCAAAGGTACTGTAAGTCCCCATTGTCTATAGTATGGTGATCTCCCTTCCGTTCCTCGCTATCTATAGCCTGCTTTTATAATATTTAGTGTATAGACATGTCGTTTTCCCTTCCTTTGCTAGTTATAAATCTGTGGTATATACTAGTTATTTTACTGTTCTTTTTTTACAGGTATTTTTATCGTTTACGATTTTTTATTAATATTTAGGTTTCATTGCCACGATATGGCTGAAACACTCCCGGTGTGACTTCAAATTTTAACTCACTCACTCATTGTTTCTAATCCTGTAAGGGGTGATTGAAGAATTTCCATGTGTATAATGTGAAGACAGCACGTCACATCGTCGCGCGTTTCACCGTCCTATCACACATTACCTCACTCGTGAGGCGTTCCCGACCGCGTCATACCAAAAGACGTTAAAATATGGTGCTTGTTGGTTCCTGCCTGGCGCTCGGCATTAATGGGTACATCAAGGACTGGTCGGCTCGGAGTCAGCATAATGTGTCTGAGTGGGGTATTCATGCTTCACTCCGGCATGGTATCTCAGTGGGCTAGCACTATAAAACCAGCTTCAGTCTGGGCTAGTACAAGCAGCCGCACATACACATACACACACATGCACGTCGTCATATGAGCGAAATATTCTCAAGCACGACGTTAAACCCAATTTCACCTCACCTCACCTCGTGAAGCACGGATGAATCATGCGTCCTGGATCTATAATGAAAACGTCCTGTCAATGACTGAGTTTGAGTACATATTAGCATTACAGGCTGCTAGTATTGCAGCAATATTTGGCGGCTTTCAAACAAATCGATTACAGTCAGTACAACTACTTGGGTAGTTATAGGGGTACAATGGCACGCCATAATCCACATCAGCGAGCAGATCATCCGATCAATTCTGGTCGTTCATTTAATCTGATGTATTATATCTCTTGTTCCAAAACTAAGGTGTGCTATTATTTGGATTGTGGTTATTACATTGGTTTATTGACGATAACGTTTTAGAAATAACTGTTTAAAACTTCCAAGTAATGGGACACTTTATTACACTCCTATTTCTTCATACAAATGCAACAAATGTATTTGTTTTATCTGGGAGCAGCAGGTATGTACAATAAACAGTAATTAATCTGTGCAAATATTATAGTTTATTGAAAACTTGCTATAAAGGTAATTGTGCTTGCATAACAGTTTCAATTAGGTTTGATAATAAAAACTTGAATACTTTTTCTTTTATTATTCTCCCATAATAATCGCCCATGTATTATCAACACAGTAAATTCCATGCCACTGAAGACAGAGAAAATTGCACACTTCCCTTTATTTCCCCTGCTACAATGGCAGTACATAAAGAGGGGAGGTAGCAATATTCCAGCAATATCACGGCGGGGGACACCAGAAATGGGCTTCACATATTGTACCCATGTGGGGAATCGAACCCGGGTCTTCTGCGTGACAAGCGAATGCTTTAACCTCCAGGCTACCCCACCGCCCAGAGCAGTGAAGGTAACAACAACGGTAAGGGTTTCAAAATAGGCCTGGGATGGAACCTCTGGTCTGAGATATGAGAGAGGCATGCGCTTGTCCACTTGTATGGTGTCAACACCGTTCAGAATGGCATACTCCATACTGAATTAGTCTACAGCTGTTCTGGAAGATACCGCATTACGCTTTACAAATTCACACGTAGTAACGTCCATACAACCGCTCACCGACACCACACACCACAACATTAGCTGACATCAGGTCCTAATACGATACTAGTTATTCTTAAAATAGAATGGAAACCTCTGCTGAAGCAATCAGTGACACATTTCCTAACAATACATTATACTGCCATATATCAATAAGCATCATATGAACTTTCAGTTGTAAATAGAATCTATCAGTGTCTGAATGAGAAAGTTTAGTTTTACGCCGCTTTTAGCAATAATCCAGCAATATCACGGCGAAAGACACAAGAAATGACCTTCGCACATTGTACCCATGTGGTAAATCAAACCCGTGTCTTCAGCGTGATGAGCGGACGCTTTACACCATTAGACTACCCAACCACCAGGCAAAATTTGAAATGCATACATTACATATACAGCTACCCATAATCCCCATTTGTTCTTTCAGGCTTAACAGAACTATTACAATTAGAATGCATAAATTTATTGAGAATGTTATAACTTTATTTAATACAGATGCATTTGGAAGAAATCGAAATGCTCGTTCGAATGCAACAATTATATTTCTCGGCTTCAACTAATGGTTTGCCTCACCTTCAGTTAATTACTCCCATACGGAGTGTCTTTATCATTTTTTGGACACAGTGGAATGAGTGCGGTATAATTTCTTTTATTGAGACAAATTTTATGAATGTAGGTGAGTCGTGAAAATAACTGACGACATAGTGGTCATGTGCAAAACACATATGCCAAAAACTGAATAGTCGCGGACAATTCTAAACATAAAGACATGAATTTGCAATACCATTACTTTTAACCCCCCATGCCCCACCCCACAATTTCTAACAAGCTCTTTAAACAAATATTACAAAACAGTGCGCACATGAACAACAGACGGGCACGGTTGTGATATTAGTATTAATGTAGATAAACATATATTCTACGAACGCTTCAAAGAGCCTTTAATTAGTTGGTCTGAAGTATATCGTAGTGCTAGGCTACAGAGGCCACCAAGGGCTGTGGCAGGGGCGCTTCTTGGAGGGTCTGATTGTGGTGTCGGGACCTCTTTTCCCTTGATGTGTATGCCTAGTACTTGTCACAGATGGATACCGCCCGGGTCACTGGGCATGTGACTCAAGGATCTTGAATCACGCCCCGAAACACGCCCTTATTTTTCTACTTGCATTACATCATTAATTTTGACAAACTCAATCTAAATGTAATAACTAAGTCATTCATCTGGTTCACGAAAACTTCTGTAAGATCTGTAAGATCCATATCGTGTACTTTCATTCACATTTGATATATTTATGGAATTCCTTTAAAAATATACGAACAATATCAACTGTCTGGGACAACAAGAGAATGCAATAATCGTATGAAAATATACGGTGTGAATCCTATGTTGTGTAAAGACAAATCTTGTTGACGAATGGTTCTTATTGCAACGAATAAAACACATTCAACACGCTTGATTAAAATTCAAAGGCAACAAAAAGCAGGTAGTTAGGTAGGTTTATTTGACCAACGTGTTCAGAAGAAAGAGCATATACAACACTGCACATGATTTTCAGTTTGGGTTGGGGATGAATAGAGTTTTGCTGAACTCATTTCTAACTTTGTTAACATACGGTCAACATACATCGACTGTCTTCATGCTTGTCCAACTGACAAATAAGGTTTTAAAAATTCCAAGATGCATACTCTGCTGACTTAGTCCTTGTTGTTCTAGAAGAATACTCTTGACTTCATGTCTAAATACTGTAACCACAACACCGCCCTCTAGTGAATCTTAAAAGAAACAGTGTAGTACAGTTACAACAATCTTTTGATATAAAGTGCACTGCCGTGTAATACATGGCTCGTCAGGTTGCATCAACGTTTCCTACATCAAGGGTTTTTCTTCGCATATATGACTGCAAATCCAGCACTATCGACAATGTTTGTCAAATCAGAACACGGCGAGGTAAACTGTGAATCTAGCAGTATTTCACCACCCAAGAGTGCCACTGAGGTTGAGGATTCTGACTCAGCTGTGATGCCATCCTATCGAAGAGGGCGCATGCTTCATTGGCGCTGTTGAAGCTGAACATCCCACACAGCGCATGCGCTTTGCAGAGACGCCCACAGTCCAGTAGGCTTGTTGGTGTTTCATCAAGAAAACCGTTCTCAAACTTGACATTTTCCCCGACGAGCTTGTACAAGACGTCATGCATTGCACCTGGGAAGAAATGTATAAATGAACGATTTTCACAGCTGAGAAATGAATGGTATAAAAGAAAGGACTTTTATATTATCCAGAAGAAGAACAGATTTAAGAAATAAAGTTCGCTCTACCCCAATGTGTTTTGTAATAAAGTATAGTTTTGCCCTGAACTATTATAATTAAAGCACGAGGACGGTAGTCTGTTCTATGCATATGAACATGGCACTAACACAACCAGGAAACTGTCAGCTTTCTTGGGGTTTATCGTGAAATTGCTGCATTTCTCTAACGTTTGGATACACATGTTAGAATCAGCCGACAGGAACATACACGTCTCCTGTTAATACTCAAGTAGAATCCATTTAAGTATCATTATTATTTCATACTGATACATCAGTGAAGGCACTTCAAACGTTGTCCACCTCTTACTAGAGCCAAGACAAGCTGCCCCCTTCCATGAGCGTATCTGAGGTTCATTTAACATATCACGAAGACAGGACACAATGTCTTTAGTCTGAATAACTTTTCTCTCACCACATTTCAATTCATGTGACAGTATAACTATTTTAATGTCGTGCGTTGACCGATATTTATATTGATCAAGTTTACTTTTATATCATGGAATTTTCATAGTTATGGTTCACGATATGGCTGAAATACTGCCGATGCGATTTTAAACTGAAACACAAACTCATACTGACTATTTACCAAATGTATACGTCGCATTGTAAACAAGTGCAGAGACGCTCATGGTTGTTACCCTGTGTACGGTAGATATGTCTCGGCTGACTAGTACATCTTCACCCTTTACGATTCCTCTTCCAAGAGAAACCTTCTCTGCAGACCAGGCGAGCCACAGTTTCCTGTAATATTGAAGAGGGAAATCAGCTGACCCTTCCTTTTAGAGACATAACAATTATTCGAATTCCTAATTTAATGCAGTAATATGCATCCATCAGACGTAGTTGAAACATGAAGCAAGAAGGTTATTATAGAATTGTAATTTATTCGCGCTTATGTTAGTACTATCAGGACGACTGTCAAAGAGGCAGACACAGGCAGTCATATAAGTAATAATTACTCATTGGAACACGCTGGTAAATTAGGTGTAATGTAACGTTAAGAGTTTATGATTTCTATGAATACACAATGCCAGTGTATGAAATAAGGCCCGTCCGACTGCCCGAGGCGGGCTAGATTTCTGCCGGACGGTCTAATTTTACAGCTAGCCAGCCCGATGGACGGGTGAAAAAAAATATTCATATAACAAGTCCACTGGCACTGTCTATTTAGTATTTAAGAAGGACTGGTTAAATCTCTTGGCTGGTAAGTTTTTGAAGTTCAGACCAGATGTCGGACTGTGTTTTTGGCTTATTTCATACACTGACAATGCCATTTAGAAAGTGGTCAAATGAGAAGTGTTTGGGATTACACTTTCTCTGTAAAGTACAGATTCTAGTACTTTGTACAATGTGTGTATCCCAATCTTTGATTCGAATTCAAACTGTGAGAGCCAGGTACCTAATCGCCAGCACACAAATTTCAGCCATCTAAACCAATCGGCCGCCACGGCTTTCAAATAAAAATTAAAGGCGGACAACTGGTAGTCTAGACCACGTACTTTATGTACCCTTTTGACAAGCGTGGGTATCGTGCCAATTTACACTGAAAAGAATGCATCTAACAGTAATGCCCATTATACCCCTGCCGCCAGATCTACCACATCCATGCATTTGCTATACAAGCCTTTGGGAAATATATACGTGTCGGTTTGATGTAAATTCATTTATTTGATTTTAGTGCTGTTGAAATGATATATGCCGACCTGAGATATATCCTTATCTTAATGAGCAGTACAACTTTATATGTGGTATACGGACAACTGTTCCATCAACATTACAGACAACAATAGACCTTCAACGCCCTGCAACAGGTCTAAAGAAGTATATGAGAAAATTCAACCTAAACAGCGTTGTACCACATATCATTGACAACTTCACTGATACACGGCCACCACTTTAATGGCTCCAGATATCAATTATTAACACATTTCCGGCACATCCAGTATCCTGCAATCACAACATATGTCACCTACATAGATTAGTAATGTTGTTTATCTATGAATATCGTCCCAGTCAACCCAGTTTTGTTGACGTTGTTAAGCTTTGTCTAAACTGATAAAGCTGTTTACCTCTAGCCGAAAAAGCGAAGTCCCCACCCGAAACCGAATCTTAAAGAGGCCAGATGAGTTCCATTAGGTCTACCTGAAACGTTGAATGGAACCTTAATCTAATCTAACAAAGGGCAACGTATGAAATTCTCACCAGAATGTAATTTCTCGTTAGTAATTGAATGACTTACTGTTGTGTACTTGCCCCAACTGCTTTTAAGTACAACTTAAGGTGGCATAGACAGTTCTAGTTGGTCTTGACTGGAAATGGATACCTGTGTCACAAGTCCATCCTTTTTTCTCGGAAAAAGGTACAATTATTGTATTTTGACAATAATGAGTCGATGTTTTAGCGCATTCCGACGAGTCAAACTTTTCCAGACGAAAGCTTATCTGGGTTCAGCATCTGAAGTGCTATCCTTACCGTTATTAATTTCTATATATAGCAAAAGCTTCAGCTATTCCGTCTTTCTGTCTAGTCCATTGGCTGGACCAACCGTAACTGTCAGTGCCTCCATACTGCTGTAAAACTCAAGCTCCATAATGATCGTGAAACTTACGTGTAACCATTGACTTAAAGCTTTATCCGTTAAACTGCTGTTCCAAACTGATCACCTACTTGTTTTAAGAATAATTGTCTTACACTTTCATGTGGTATGAAAAATGTCAAATTCGTACAAGGTGCTCGCAGCTTTGCCACAGATAATGTGATACCTACGTGTACGAATCACAGTCCATCAGCTGAGGAGTCTGTTCCTCTTCGCCCTCACACCCTCCACATTCTCGAATGGCACTCTTCGTGTTGTCCCACCCTCCAAGGGCAATTTCATAAGACCCCGTACTGCTACCGTCTCCTAATAGGATGTAGCCGTCCTCACAGGTCTTTACTGTGAAACTGATGCTCGAACAGTCGCTGATATCAACGCCATATGTAGATGTGTTGTGATACTCGAGACCCCCGCTTGAAAATATCACTGCAGGTAACCCCAGTACAGCTGCTGAAATAGAATACGATATTTGATTGTGTATAAAGTACGCAATACCATGTTTTACATTGACACATTAGCACAAGTTCTTAAAATAGATAATAAATCACAGGTTGCGTATAAATATGGCACAAGATATGACTACATAGGCAACACTTTGTTGTCTTATTCTCAATCATGCTTTGATTATATACCGAAAAAATATGTATACGTGAAAACTAAGAATGAATACTATATGTCTTTTCTAATGAAAATTGAAATAGAATCAACTGTTACTAAAGGTGATTATGTCGCTTTAACAAAAGTCATTACGAATGTTTATTTGTTACTATTTACGAAGTTACACTGGCTAACTATGAATGAGCGAACTGCACCGTGTATGGTACATCTAATTTAATTCTTGTCAGTTCTGACAGTTTATATTAATTTCTATACCATTAATCTACTTTAAAAGAATAAATACTGTGCGCAAAAGCAGAGACTATAAATAACGCACGGTAAATTTTATATTAAAACTGCAATAAAAGTCTCATAAAATTTCTAAAAGCTCTGTTGGCAAACACATTTTTGTTGAGTATGTTATTTCTGCAACTGATTTGGAACGAGATTATGATACAGGAGACGTCACTTCTACGTCCGGAAATACGCATACCAGAAGAAGCCCACTTAACACCACACAAAAAGTGACATTTAGTCAGACGGGTGTAATCTATCAAATATCATGCACAGTGCGGTTAAGGCAGAGTGTGTTGGAATGTTCATAAAACATAAAACATTCTCATAATCAAAAATTACACATTTTCTAATGACGTTGAGCGCTGGTAGATGGCGGGGTAGTTCAAGCTGATCGCTGGAATTAATTATAACTGTTATATGATCAATTAAATGTATCATCGTGATATCTAACTAAAATATAGATAATTTAGCACGCGAGGCATGTATGTAACAATACAAAATACAGTTATAAAAGCATCAGGACGATCTCAGGAACTAAACCCCAACCCCTCTGTACATCCCACTGGCTTCTAATGTGAGGCTACGCGTTTGACACATTGGAAGCGGCCTCGAAGGACACCCTAATCTTGATGTAAATAATCAGAGAAGTTTTACTTGAAATTGTCTGTTCTTGAATAAATGTGATATACACAATATGCCCTTGACTACAAGTGCATGCAAATGCTGTAAATGAACATGCTTTCGCTTTGAATAATATGTTCTGTTAAAATAGAAAATCAATCAATTGATATGGTATGTTGTACGCTGATAATGGAATTATTTGTTTTTGAGGGCACCAAAAGGTCAACGGTTCTTCTATTGGTTTTCCTGGAAACCACACTGGACGTTACCTAGGAGGTTATTGGACTTTAGGTACCAAACTCCATGATTTCACAACGTGAGCTATTAAAATAGTATGGGACGGTAAGTGGATTGATCAGAAGAACCCGACCGGGTATTGGTAGAAAAGTGATAATTGTTTTGTGACTCCAAGAAAGAGAATTTCCGGTAAAATATTTCATAGAAGAAGTAGGATTTCGAAACAAGAATCTTGCAAGTGTTTTACTGTCATCTTCACCATTATCAGAGTTAACATTGACTGGTTTCCAATGTCCTCTTCTTTTTGCTATCTTTGAAACTGAAGGGGGGGGGGGGGAGTTATGTGGATTGGTTTGAAAAAGTTTACCAGTTTGTTTCCTATTTCAGTTGTGTGTTGCTTATGCTGATCATTTCTACTGAGATATTGTGTTACCATATTTGGGATGGTGAACACCAGGTTTTGATGCTTTGTGCATAGTATTTGATATTCCATACCTTGGATATATGTGTGTGAGAACTGATTTTAAGCTCATACTTCTTCCATGTTTTACTTTCGTTTTGATTTAATGTCTTATCATTTGGGAATTTGACGTTAATTAAGATGTGCAGGGATGTCCGAGACATTATACAGTAACGTGTCGAGCGTTGTTTACAAGCATTATCAAACCATGGTTTCCAAGTACAGACGTTTGCAGAGCACTTAGAAATGCATTTTTCTTCAATAACATTATATTGATTTGAAATTAGTGGCATGGGATCATCGACATTGATGAAATTGTCAGGATAGACATTTTTAGCACACAGAGTTTGGAATGAAGATCAATTTACCTTTGTACAGTTGCACTTTGCTAAAGCTAGCGCATGAACTGGATTTATATTCTTACAATGCACACACAACTTCATTATCTTGTGTGATCTCCCTGAGTAGCCTTGGAAACCGTCCTTTCCCTGATGACGTCAGCCGCCTATAGCATCATTATGGATCCGCGTCCACCGCCCTATAAGGCCGACAAAGCGTTTGGAGGTTAATGTCGACGCAAGGAGTCCCAAAGTGTTCTTTGGGCGACATATGCGGGAAATGAGACGCCCAAGGCAAAAGGACAACTTAACTTCTGGTCGCAAAGTCTTTTATCAGTCTGCCACTATGGAACCTTGACTGATAGGGTTTGAGGAAAGCATCCTGTCTCTGGCATTTGACAAATGAATGGAACAGCAAACGGCGAAATCTGGGCGTTCAACACAAGCTGCCCCGTATTACAAGATGCAATTGCTGCAAATACCACATGGGCTTAGTCTATTTCTAGATAGTAAATTACCGATCTTGGTGCAATTTATGTATCTTTAAATACTGTGCAAATATATCATATCTTGCCATGCAATATATCTTGTCAATTAGCATGTGTCTACATTTTCCCATCATTGCATTCTATACTCAGTACCTGATTTTCTCTCTTTTTCAACCGGAAGTATTTGTTTTGTTTGTTCAAAAAGAGTTTAGTTTTTTTCTTTAAATAGGTCTAACAGTTTCAAGAAAGAACATATCTTCCTCTGTGGATATGAGATTCCAGTAAAGTTCAGCCCGCTAGTGCGCAACGATTAGTCCTTTTTCTCGGCCTTGGAGCATCGTTGGGTAGACGAGATGTGATGTTTTAATTTCCAAAATGTGTGCCCCTGTTTCTGATATGTTGCACAGCTCATGAAGGTTGCAAGGGGAGACCTTCAGACAACCAGATTAAACAATCATGATCGTTGATTGTTCTTTTTTAAAGCAAACATTTTGTTTTCTAAGCGAAGACTTAAATTTGGAATCTTACTAAACACCTTCATGTTATATATTCTTTACCGCAGACAAAAACCTCTCCATAAATTCTAAATGAAACGCGTATTGAATGTCTCCACACATATCTGGGCAAGGGGAATGGTAAACGGTCACATGGAGTCGAAGTTCTCACTCGTTGTTGCCCTTGGTACTAAGAAATGACTGTGATCTTCATTTCATTTTGGCGAAATCATACATAGTACAGTTTTCCGATTCTTCCCGCGCCAATAAAACCAATCTATCAACGATCAGTGCAATTACAACGGCTAATACTGTTATAAGGATTTGTTTTTGTTAATCATAATGACACATTGATTAACTTTTAGTTGTTATGGATCAAAAAAGTTTAAAGCGGTGAGTGTGGATTTGAACACACGCCTTGAACTTAGGCTATGTATTTTCACCTGTTGAGAGTGGGCTGAATTTTGCTTCCGGTCTCTTCGATAGGATGCTATAAACTATGCGATGATAGTGGTGTGGCGTGGCGTGGCTGTAGCTAGAATTCTCCAGAACTGTATGATAGGTGTAAAATGGGTGGTTGTTGAGATGTGTGGGGAACTACTGTGGATTTACGCTCAGTCGTCTGCTAACATCGATGTTTCAAGAGACGTCGTCTACATTGAACTTTCAACAGCTGCCAGCAATATTTACTGGGAATATAAAAACTTTCGTGAGTTAATATTTTAGATTTGTGACCCAATATTTTAGATTTGTGATCAAATAGTAGTGTACATGTATTAGAAATCTGTACAGTCATTCATTGGAACCTTGTTTATTCAATATACAATTGAATATTTCGAGACTCGTGTGTGTTATATTTTGCTGGATTAAAGGGTACTCACAAGCCTTTTATCTCAGTAATTTTACCGTTTTTTTGACCGATTTGGATAGCTCACATGTACATCTACAATGAAATGTTTGTAAAGGATAACCATAAGGTTGGTGTCCAGTCCGGTTGCACCAGCATGAGGTCCCACGTACACATCCATAACGGAATACCAACACAAACGCAACGTAGATCAGATTTACCGAAGGTCAAAACGCGCCTCCAACGTTGGAAAGATTAACACAAGGCCTTACCTGTTGAACATGCCAACGTTGAGCACACATTAAAGACGATCTTACCTGTCGAATGTGCAAACAAAACCCCAACGTAAAGCAGATTTACAGTGGACATTCTCGGTAGGTCTTCTGACTCTTCTAACAGATACGCATCGAATGTGAACATATCCAATAAATATGCAGCTTACATGATTGGGCACTTGATGACCTGCATAGCAACCGTGAAGCAATGTTTACTTTTTTCGAAATCAATGCACGTTACATATAGCCACGGAATATATTGTTCAAATCATTACATCGATTGCACACTCCAGTAGGATTGGTGTGTGGCTTCTTAATGTTGCGTATTGTTCTCCGGAGAGGATATCTAAGATGTATGTTCTTAATCGTAGAATACATATTCTTTCATTTTGGATAATTTGCCCAGAAAAGCGAATAACTGAAGGGAAGGTGTAAATACTGTTCTGGCCCTCGCAGGTAGCAAACTAAAGTCCCTCTCTTGTAAGTTGAACAATCTTAAGTTGTTGGGCATGCCCTGCTTGACTGTATTGAGTTTTCCATTTCAATATCCAGTTTGCTACATAAACATTCATTTGATCAACGAGTAGATGTATATATGGTCTAAACATAAATAACAAAGAAGCAGCGGAGTGCGGGCTGTCTAGGCTTTCTAGCAGTATTGTACTTAGGTGCGCCAGGTCTTTTTCTAAATGTTCCCTCTGATTATAAATCATCAAAGTCAACATCGAATCCAAGGCTATGGTTACCAGTGTGGTAATGTCTAATGCATGAAATACGCTTCATCGATCTAATCAAT